CCCTAGCAGGAAGGAGATAAAAACTCCAGACTGCTCTGAACGCCACCTCCAACCCCACTTTCAATTGAACTGAACTCCAGTTCTGAGCTCATTGGGGGAGAGCCTAGACTGTTGGGTAGCAGGTGAAAATCGAGGGCACCTTTCTCTCAGAGATGCTTGCAACGAGTACTGAAGGACCCTGGGGATAACTGAGACTCGGGAACCGCATAGGGCGGGGCTGACGGAAGCCAAGCCTGTAGGCTCCACCCTGAAACTCCTCCCCATCAGGGAAGCTGTGAAAATGCTGAGACAATGAAATAGATCACAAACGAAAGAAATGGAGGACAAAAAGCGACTGGATATAGAGTTCAAAACCACGCTTATAAGGTTATTCAAGAATCTCCTAGTAAAGGCCGATAAAATAAATGAGATGTATGAGGATATGAAAAGGGATCAACTAGAAATAATAAGGGATCAACAAGAAATAATAAGGGATCAACAAGAAACAAAGAATACATTGTCTGAAATACAAAATATTATACAGAGTCCTAAAAACAGAATGGAAGATCGCAAGAATCAAGTCAAAGATTTGGAACAAAAAGAGCCAGAAGACACTTCTCTGCAGAAGCAAGAAGTCAAGAGAATCCAGAAAATTGAAGATAATTTAAGAAACCTCTGGGACAACTTCAAATGAACCAACATCAGAATTATGGGGGTCCCAGAAGAAGAGAGAGAGCAAGATATGGAAAACATACTGAAAGAAATAGTGACAGAAAACTTCCCCCACCTGGTGAAAGAATTAGACTTAGAAGTCCAAGAAATGCACAGAACTCCAAACAAAAGGAATCCAAAGAAGACCACACCAAGACAAATCATAAAATTCCAAGAGCAAAAGACAAAGAGAGAATATTAAAAGCAGCAAGAGCAAAGCAGGTAGTTACCTATAAAGGAGCACCTATACGATTGTCAGCTGATTTCTCAACAGAAACCATGCAGGCCAGACAGGAATGGCAAGAAATATTCAAGGTGATGAATAGTAAGAACCTCAGCCAAAAATAATCTATCCAGCAAAGCTATCACTCAGAATTGAAGGCCAGATAAAGAGTTTCACTAATAAAAAAAAAAGCTAAAGGAGTTCATCACCACCAAACCAGAATTATATGAATTGCTGAAGGGGGTTCTTTCAGAAGAGAAAGTAAATAAAGATAAAAATTATGAACAACAAATACGTAACTATCAACAAGTGAATTTAAAACCAAGGGAATTAAAAAAAAAAAAAAAACCCTGATGAAACAATATTAACTGTTGAATATAATAGAATCAGAGGTATGGAAGGGGAGTGAACTGCGATTTTTGGGGAAAAGGGGAGACGGGGATGTGGGAAGAGACTGAACATAAACTGTGCACCTATGGATGAGAACAATGGGGGTTGGGGAAAGGGCAGAGGGTGGGGTGGGAACCTGGTGGAGGAGAGCAATGGAGGGGGAGGAAAGGAACATTTGTAATAATATGAACAATAAAGATTTATTTAAAAAAAGAATTTGGTACATCATTTTTGGCTTTGTATTTTCTTTTTCAAATTTCAGTTTAGAGAATGGGATCATTACATGCGTGGGTGGCTATTTAGGTGATAGTTTCCTTTTCCTCCCCACAATTGGTCCGAGGTTTTTCTGTTGGTTGCCACTAGAGGGCAGCATATGCACAGTAGAGCAGACAGACCCTCAATTTACAGATAAAAGATAATGGGGGAGGGGCAGCTTTTGTCTTGCTGTGCTTTAGGAGCACAAAAATTTTCATTTCCACCAGCTATCTTTACTTTACTAGTTATAATATCTAAATTACTTCAAGGATAGGAAGATCCACATACAGGAAGCCTCCTTATTGGAAATAGCAAATGAATTGAGAATTCTAGACTCTTCATCATTCCATTGAACATGTGAATCCCAGAAACACACCTCCCATTTCTCACTTCCTCTTTTATGTTACTTAGCTTGTCTTTACTAGACTTCTGTGAAGTCAAGGATGAACAAATATTTGTGTCAATTTTTACAGAAATAAATATGATACAACTGCCCAAATATCAATTTTCTTTTTTTAAAGAGTATTGACAGTTATACATGTTCAGTAATGATATATAGTTGGACTGTATAGAAAACCCCAAAGAATAAATATAACTATTATTATGAGCAGACATGTAAAAGAGAATAAAAAATGGATTCTGAGCTCAATATCAATCCATAGGCATATAAGCTTTGTCGATATCTTGGGATAGCTGTTAATGTCAGTTTTCATTTACAAGGCCAAACCCTTTACCTGTATTCTCTCCCCGCTCATCACCACCACCACAAAGTGGCCATGAGTGCTCTCAGGGTAGGCACAGAGGTGGAGGCTGGCTGAAGGACGTGCCTGGGGCCATGCAGGGATGAGTGGCTCTGGGAACACTCTGGCCCGCCTCTGCTCTGTCCTCTGGGCTGAGGACCAAAATCTGGGCTCCGGCTTATCCTCTACCCTGTGCTCGGCCTCGTCCTGCTGTTTCACTTCTAATGTGGTCACTCACTGAGCATTTGCTATGAATATTTAAGACACAAATCTTTAAAAAAGCTAAGCAGATTGCACATTACACATAGGCCATTTTTGTCCCCAGTGCTGGCTCCTGAGGCAACTTTAGAGAGGAAGACCTCAGGGTCTGGATTAGTTGTGACGTGGGAACCAGGAAGGGTTAGGATGAAGGTGCCAGGTCAGTCAAGTGCCAAGAAAAGTTTCTAAAGGAGGTGGGGTGGCCTGAGGGGAGCAGAGCAGGAGACACCAGGAGGGAGTGAATGGGCTCAGATGGAGCCAAAGTGGAGAAGGTGCCGCAGACACAGGTCCTTCCCCATCCACCTACAATGTCTCCCAAGCGCATCTGAGAAGAACCCTCGGCCTCCGCTAGTGGTAAGGAACGGCTGTGTGCAGGAGCCTGCGCAGAGGGAAGCTTGCCAGCAGCGGGAGGTTTGTGTGGGATCACAGGAACACAACGAACTGATTAATTAGCCCTGGGGAGTCACTGTCATTCTTGGACAATGCAGTTCTACAAGCTTTTGTGCAGAAAGGTTCTTATCCTCCCATTTGCCCACAGTCCGTCCTGGCAGCTAACCTGCACTATCGTTCGTGTTCAGAAGATGTGTTTTAAATACAGCTTTATAGAAAAAGGCTAGTTTTGTACTAAGAACAATGAAGCTCACAGACCGTAGCCCACCCATCCTAGCTTACCCTGGATTTATCTGCATGCAGTGGGGGAGGATAAGAAAGCCACTCCAGTCCTGGGACTGTGTGGGAACTGTCCCTGAGTGTGTGTGTGTGTGTGTGTGTGTGTGTGTAAGAGACAGCCTTCGGAAGGAAACGGTGTCAAGAGGAGGTCATCAGTAACACCAGACAGTTTCATCATGGCCAGGAGACAAGAACACCTTTGCATTGAATTTTCTTTCATTCTCGGCAAGTACAAAAACATCACCAAGGGCCAAGATTTTTCTAACTCGTCAGCTTGGCAAGCTCAATCTGACAACATATTTGTTGAATTTCTACCCCAAATCATCTTCCCAGGTTTGCATCCCAGAGGAAAATGAAACGGTGTTTCCTTCAGTTCAGCTGCTTATGCAAAATCTCACAGGGAACAGAAAAGTCTCCCCACTGCCAGAGGGAAGGGGTGGCCACCCCAGGGGAGCGTCTGCAGTCACAGAGCTGCAGAGCCGCAGAGGCCAGCAGAAAGCCGGTCTAACCCTGACTTCTGCCCCACAGAGAGAATCCTCGCTGCTGGAATCCTCTGTAAAGGGAGGTGGTTTAGGTAAAGAAAAGGGGGAAAGCTACTGTCCACCTCAGGCACTTTGCAACGTCCAGCTTTACAGAAAAGAACAAACTTCAGGCTCAGCTCTTCACTTTGCTCAGGCAGAGGTTGGACAGGATGATTGTGTGGCATTTCACTGCTCTTTTCTTAAGTACACGATTCCTTGGCATTTTATCCCACAGTACCAAGCAGCCTCAGGCTTGGGCTTGGCACATATTGTAAAAATTTGGGAGAATGAATGAAAATGAGGTCATGTGAAAATTCTATTGTCAGCACGCCTGCTGGGAATGTGGGGAGAAGAGTCCCTGAACCTTCTGACTCCTCCCAGAGTCCTTCCCAGTAGCCTGTGGCTAAAATAATGAGTCTAGCAAATCCCACCTTCGGCCCATCATGGCCTCCACTTGTTTCCCCGTGTGGGAAAGTCAGGGCAGAAAGGGTGTCGTCATGCTGACTTCTGGGTTTTATTTCGCAGCTGAATAATTGCCCATATTCACAGTTTATATTTTAAAACATGTGTTGGAAATGCTAATCATATTCCCATACGAAGTTCAAAGTGAACCAAGGTGAGCTCTTCCATAATCCCACACAGTAATTACCAGGAAAACCTATGGCTTTGCAGTTAAGTGGTGGCCTTTTAAATAAAGGAAAACCCTTTTATTACGCTATGATCTTAATAACATCACCTGGCTACGGCCTGGCACGTGGGCGGGTTTGTGATGGATACTGGCTCAATTAATCAATGCTGTAACTTGCTGGGCCTTTCTCTGCATGTGGCCCGTCAACTTCTCAGGCCAGTGAAAAAATAAAGGCCCTTTCTATTTCCCTTTTTTGTTAGAAAAAGATTTTTTCGTTGGGGCTTCTCAGAGGAGTTGGCAGCATGTGATTTCACTTGAAGTATGGGTGTAAGCTATCAGATTTCACTCCTTTCCAGTCATTGCCATGTTCCCTTCCTCCTCCTCCTCCTCCTCCTCCTCTGACTGCCTCTTGGCAGAGCCCAGGATCCAGTTCTCTCCGGATTCTCAGCTGCCTCAGGTCAGGGTGGAGTGCTCCTTCACTAGCTCACTGCTCAGCACCTGCATCACCCTTGCCCGAGGCCAGGGCGGGCCAAAGCTGGGGCTGTGAACTCACTCAGATCCTCGCCAAATGGGCAGCCCTCCAGGGTCCCAGGAACACATCCTGCGGCGCTTCTCCCACCACTCACCTTATCACCGTGGGGGTGATCTCTGCACAGAAGAACACACTGAGGCTTCCCACTGCGTGGGAGGCAAACATGCCCACGATGGAAAACACGATGGAGAATTTGTCCTTGACACTGTCGCTCATACCTGAAGGGCAATCAGAAAGGGTTGGTGAGGAGGGGCAGAGGGAAGGGGAAAGGAAGCTAGTCAGGCTGAGGCGGAGAGAGCAGGGGAGAGGGGAGCAGGGAGGCCTGGGACGCATGAAGGGTCTTCCCTCTTCCCCTCTCTGCTGCTTGGGTGCAGGCCAGGGTGCTCAGTCCCTCCGCAGAGGGAGGAGCAGCCCTGAGGCAGGAGGTCAGACCCTTTGGGCAGTGGACTGCCAGGTTCCTTGCAGGTCCCCTGTGGGTCCTGAGGGCTGGGGCACACACCGACTGCCAGCGTCCCAGGCTGAGCCGGCCTGGCAGAAGGAAGGCTGGTCTCAGGACTATAGCAATGTCCACTCTGTCCCAGCCTTCCATATGGTTCCAGAGAAAGGTGCCACACTCAGAGAGCCCTGGCTATTCGGGCCTTAGTTTTGCCCAGTCCAATACCTGGGACAGGGTATCTTAGGCTTGATTGAAGGGAACAAAAACTCAAATAATCCAAACAGAGAAATTTATGGGCCTAGAAGGAAAGGGGTCAACCAACCAAAGCATCTTGCAATGGCACTAGAGTCTGACCTCACGCCAAGGTGGCATCTAGCGTGAAGCAATAGCGGGCCGCTGGAGCAGAGCTCAGTTCCCTGTGAGGCTGCTCGGGACCTCAGACTCCGCTGTGGAGGGCCGAGGGCATGGGCTCGGGGCAGGCCAGGCACAGGTGACCAGCAGCACTGCAGTGCACGGCGGCGGCCCATCCTCGCAGTGGAGAGCAAGCCTGCGAGACTCATTCACAAGCGGGACAGCAGCTTCCCCCGCAGCATGGCCAGCCAGGCTTTCTGATCTCGCCCAGCACTGCCCCCAAGACCTCTGCATCTTTGTGTGGGTGGCAGCTGAGGCCTGTGCTGATTGAGGGTGCTGGTGCCAGGGGAAGAGGCGAGGGCATGCGTGCAAGCTGGGCACAAATGGGAGGATGAGCAGCTCTTTCTAGAAGCAAAGGGGGAAAAGAACACAGATGTATGCTTATAGTGTCCAACCTACGGCCAACTTCAGCTGCAACTCTTGGAGGGTGAGGGAGGAGGAGAAACAGGAGAGGGAAAACACAGGTGTGTGAGTGTTTATGAAATTGCCCGATTGGATACAATACAAAGATAGATGATGACCCGCACGCACAAGCATGTGGGGCTCACCTGAGTCAGGGTGCTGGATGTACTTCCCAATCACTGGGCCCCGGAGATGATGGCACCACAGGGACGAGGACGAAGAAAGTGGGAAAAGGGGGATAAAGAAAGCACATTAGGCAAGTCCACTGCGTGTTTCTGTGTGGCTGGTATCTCAGTGAATTCCCAGCCAGGTCTGGGCCCGAGTCTGGAGAGATGGAGAAGGCCTCTTGGGACAGTCCCAGGCACTGGAATAAGCACTCGACTAAACAAAACTCTTCCTGTTGGGAAGGGCAGGCTAACGCCCCATTGGCCTCATCCTGGGGAGAAGCCTGCACACTTCGGAACTGATGCTGGCTCACTCCCTGACCTGAAGCCAAGCACTACTTCCGCTGCCCACAAGACTCAGACCCACCGCCAAGGGCATTATGCTCCTCGGCGACTTGTCCTTTGCACAAAGTGCCTGTGACGTTCCTCCCTGCTCAGGGAAGAAAGCCCGAGCGGCCCCGGGCTGCCTCTGCACATCCCCCGGAACGCCCACTCCTCAAGGTGCCCTGGGAGGGCAGCTCAGGCAGCCCCACCGGGGACAGGATGTTCGAGAGACAGACAATACTTCTTCGGTCCCTCGTTAGTCACAGCTGAAACAAAGACCAGTCCTCAGTAAAATGCAGGACGCATAGGACCTGCCGTTAGAAAAATGCCTCGTGAGGTGGAAACCAGCTATTCTCTAACCCAGTTTGCACACAGGCTGAGGAAGTGTGAGCTTTCTTTCGCTTCCTTCCGTTCTGGACCCTGACTCATGTCTCCGCCACATCCCGCCCACCTGACATACCAGAGGCTCTGACCCTCGGTGCATGAGGGTCCCTAGCCCAGTCCCCACAGCCTGGTAGCTCTCCCTGTGGCATCTGTGTCCCCACAGTGTCCGGCTGTCCTGGGAGGCCGGGCATGGGTGAGAAGCGGACTCAGCTGCCGGGCTCACTCACGTCTCACCCTCAGCAGGCCAGAGAGATGCCCGTGGCTCCGTCCACACCTGGAGGTGGGCCTTGGCTCACGCAGCGCTCTCCTTAGCTTGCCTTCTTATAATTGCAGGGGCTATGTGGATTCCCTAGCATTCCCTTAAACCATTTAAACATTTACTGAGATGTGCTTTGGCCCAAAGACAAGCTGAGGAACTCTGGAATTTCTACTGAAAAGCAGTGTCCCCACGCAAGAGTGTCAACATTTATTTCTCCCTCATTTCGCAGGGAAGAAAGAAGCTCTCTCACAGAGACAGTCTGGCCGCTAGTGAAGCCGCGGCCATGCAGGTGCAGTCAGGGAGGCACTGAGCGGGAGCCCCGGGCTGGGGAGGGAGGAGGGGGAAGGCAGTCACCATGCACAGCTGTTAGAGTGGCTGACCTTCCAATGCCAGGTCAGTGAAAACTAGTCTCGCACCCTACCAGCCCTCTCTACACCGGCCCTCCACCCGGCTCCGCCCCACGGCCACCCCACTCCCCCGGCTCCACTCACGGTTGAGGAGCCCGAGCTGCAGGAGGGAGGCCAGGGCCGTGAGGATCATGAAGAGCAGCAGCCCTCCCCGGCGCCCCATGAACCGGACCACCACACACATGGCCAGGCAGGAGGCCAGGGTGATGCTGGCCATGGTGTAGTAGTCGGCGTAGAAGTTCTCCAGCAGCGGCACCTTCACCTCGTGGCCCATCATGCTTCTGGCGAAGCAGTGGTGGATCCCGAACCCCGTCAGCCTGTGGGCGACACACCGGGAGGGCCATGTGTGGGCCTGCGGGGACACCGGGGACCGTGCCACGGCCCGGGAGTCACTGTGTCCAACAACAGGGGATTGTGTAGGCGGCTCTGTGTGCAATCCAAAGTGTGCCATTGGTGAATGGACAGGAGAGCGACACGCAGACTGAAGACTTCAGAGAAGCGGCCCTCGCTGGGGCGCATGCTCACTCCCTGCCATCACTCCAGGAGAAAGGTGTGAGCCTTCTGTTCAAACAGCAACTTTCACGGGAGCCCCACATGCAAGACAGAGTGCTCCCCTCGCGTCGACCCCTTCAATCCCACCTTGGTGCCGTGGGAGCTACCGTCAGACCCTCTTCACAGACGGGCACACAGGCTGAGGGAGGTCTGGCCGCTTGCAGATTACTCAGCTGGCAAAGGACAATCTTGGAGACACATTGCCCATCTGTGCCTGCCTCTTCCTTCAGCACTCGGGGTTCTGGGGGCTTGGAAAACTGTCCAAAGAATGACCTATTCAACCCTGTTCTGTCACTACCTGTCAAAGGCACCCTGAAGAACCAGGAGAAGCCAGGCCAAATGGTCTTGGAGGTTTTGTTTCAATTCTTCATTTACCTCTGCTTCCTCCACTGTCCCGATCAAGCCTCTTGTCTGCCCCATAGGATCACAGAAATCTGCTGGCAACATGTGTCCCAGCTGTGCAGATTGATGTCTGCTCTGGGAAACATCTGTGCACACCCAGGGAGGCCGCAACCGTGGTGACCACACCACGTGGACTGAACCCAGGGCTCTGAAGGGCCCTTTGGGACAGGGTCTGGTGTGAAATGCTTGCATGCTTAGTTACATCAGCGCTCAGCATCCATCCCAGAGTGAGAACTTCCCTTCTCCTCCAGCTCCCTTGGTGCTCTCATTATACCTCAAAGTTGCGTCAGACCCTCTGCAGCAGCCCCACCTCCGCAGCAGGATGCTGCTCTTTCCCAAACACAAGCCTTTCTGCTTGGGAAGCACTCAGCTGAGGACCCAGCCCCCGGGCCATCCTTTTCTCATCTAGGAGCTGAGACCCAGCCCTTGGCTCCTGGCCAATGACTGCCCTTTCCATCTGGCTTCCGGGGTGTGTGTGTGTGTGTGTGTGTGTGTGTGTGTGTGTGTGCAAGGAAGCCTTCACCTTTCTGTCTTGGTGGAGAGGAAGTCCTCTGACCACAAAGGCAATTTAAGACAGAGAAAGGGACACCCTCCCACAAGAATCATTAAAATGTCATCTTGTCTTTGTCACATTTTGTGTTTTTTCCAAAATACAACTTGGGGAAGCCACCCCATTCTCAATGATCCTATTGGTCTAGCCAGTGTCTGCCTGAGATGGACAGTGGTGCGGTGGCCATGCCCGGGGCCAACTCTGGGCCAAGAGGCTGAGGCCTGAGGTCTTGGCCCTGCCCACCCAGTGGCCATGGCTGGTCAGTCCCTGGCCTGGGCCATGGTCTCCTCATCTGGGGGACAGGGTATAAGTGAGGTCTGAACTCTCCCATCGCTCTGGCAGAAGGACCTTCTGTATCTTCCCCCAAATTTAATGAGGAACCCCAGTACTGAGAACTGATTAAATGGAGCTGCTTTGGTAGAAACGGCTGTGAGGAATGGCAGGCCTGGCCTGGCCCATCCTCTGAGGGTGAGGAGGATGCACATCTGTGTAGACCAGCCCAGGGCCCTGCCTGTGCACCTGGAAGGGGCCAGCTGGGGCTCTACCTGCCCCGAGTCTGGGGTGGGGCCCATATCCTCCAGCAGTTGTCGCCTTCTGAACACTGGTTAGGAAGCTGACAGGCTTGTCAGACTTAGCTGGGCCCCTCAGCAAAGAGCGGAGCCCTGGGCAGGCCAGAGTGCCTGCTGGGCCATAATTCAAAGACCAGCTGGGAAGGAGGAGGCCCCAGAGGTCCTTTTCCAGCCCCTCCCTGCGCTTGGCCTCAGATGTGTCCCTCGGCAACTCACGAATTCACACACAGGACCACGATGTTCTTCCACAGGTTCCGGGTTCCCACCATCTTCACGATGCAGACCTTCTTGGGCCTCCGGGACAGCTCCTTCTCCAGCTCTGCGGAGACAGAAAGCATGACCTCTCCGCCAGGCCCGGACAGCGGCCTCCAAGGCAGCCGAGGTCCCAGTCAGGCTTCGTGAACAGGGAGAATGCTTTGGGTTTTCCTCTCTTAGCCAGGGACAGAGCCTGGCTGCCAGGACAGTGGAGGTGTTCAGACTCTAACCTGGCTGTTCAGCTGCCCTGCGGGGAGGGGTGTGGAGGGAGCCCCGCTCACTGTCAGCCTCTCCTGGGAACCAGGCAGGGCGCACACACAAGTGATTAGCGCAGGGCCATTCCACACGGCAGAGGACCGGGCCGAAGGGTGGTGTCTAGGCTCCTCAGCACTCACTGGGCTCTGGGAGCATGATAACAGTGGCTTCCTTGTAAGTCTGATCTGTCTGCACTCCACTGCTCAGATAAGCACATGCTGACATGCTCCTTAACTGTGGGCGAACACACGATAGCGTTATTGCTGACACCGCCCCGCAAGAGCATGCATCTTCGAAAGAGAAATAAATGCAGGAACTGTGTGCCCATCTGTGCATACACAAATATGCACAATCCAGATGTGGGTATACTTTTAATAGTTCGAGCCGTTGGCAGCTAGAAAGACATGATGTTTTGGCTGAGAGTGATATGGCCAGCCACACAGTTAGGAGGCAGTTTCTTGTGAGGCTCAAACGAGCTCCGAAAGCCACTCTGAGCAGACTGACGGCGTCTCAGCACCGCGGGAACAGGGTTCGTGAGTTTGCTCAAGTGCTGGTGCTGACTTAGCAGTGAATATGGAAGATCAAAATAGGCAATGTCTGGACCTCCACGCCTTCCTACCTCGTTGTGCGCACAAAAGCCACCTGTCCAGTCTCCCGGGCCCTACTGGCTCCTACACAGGCCTGACCTTGGGGAATACTTCCCTACTCAGGAGCTACAAGAGAAAAGGACGGCTTAACCAATTGGGTGGGTGGGCAGTGCTCTTGAAGATTCCTAAGGCCACGAAAACAAGGAAAGACTGAGAAACTGCTGTGGTCCAGAGGGGCCTGGGGAAACGGGATGACCAAGTGCCACCCTGGCGCAGGAAGAGGTTACTAATGGGAAGATGGTAACAGCCAGATAAGGCTGGCGTTTGGTTAGCGGCAGTGCCCCCATGGCAGTTTCTCAGCTGTGACAACTGTGAGTGGTAATATCAGATGTGAATCAGGGGGAGACTGAATCAGGGGTATTCAGGAATTCTGTACCACTTTGCAACTTTTCTGAAAACTTAAAGTTATCCCAAAAATTCTACTACATTTTTTTTAAAAGCAGTGGGGATGGGAAGTTCCCCTATACCCCTATTAGTGCTCAGAGGAAACAGGCCTGCCCCCCAGGCCCGGAGCAGCAGCTCCCACGGGGAGTCTCTGAAGAGTGCCCTCCATCCCACCCCCCAGCCCCCTTACTTCTCTCCTGCTCTACCTCCTTCCTGCCACCCAATGGCAGGAGGGCCGCCAGCCTCATTAGTTACAGTTTGAAAAAGAATACTTTGCTTAATCATAAGGTCTTAGGCGCTTTCTATTTAAATAAAAATTTTTGGATCAGTGTCACCAGCTGGGGCATAGAAAGGAGAAGGAAAAGCCTTTCCTATGACTGAAGGATATCATGCCACCTGAGTTTCCAGAACTTTCTTCCTTCCCATATTTAGGTGTGAAGACTGGAGTCTGTACACAAGCCAGACGCTGGCATTTCGGCTGTGCCCGCAGACCCTCCCCTGAGGTCTTCTTGACTTTGGTGCTCCCCTTTGTAAAAACAGACTAATTTGATTTACAAACATACTTCGCCCTGGTTAAAAACCTAAAACAGCTTTTAAAGAGTTTAGAAATGTCATGGTTAATGGATCATGATGGATCCAGTGACCTGAGTAATTTCACTTTTGTATCAGGAATCAACCGTAATTAGCACCACCTGCTCACCATGAAAATCTTACAAGAAGAAAACTGAAATGCCCATTAAGATGTTTATGTAAGTTTAAAGGTTGTGTGTGTGTGTGTGTGTGTGTGTGTGTGTTTAAATGTGGCCCCAACTTAACTACTGACACTTATTAGACATAAAGCAGATGCTGCTAAAGAAGCTGTAGCAATTGTAACGATGACCGAGTTTTGTTTTTTATAACATTAAACTCCAGAGCCCCACGTCTGAAGAACGAACTGCCATCTACAGAGGAACTGCGTTCTAAATGGAATGAAATGAGCCTGTCGGGGCCACTGACATTTTGTCTGTCAGACCTATCACCCACCAGCCCACCGCCAACAACATAAGCTTTCTCCGCACTAGGTCTGTTCTGGGACAAAAGTCCACCAGCTGGGTTACCGGAAACACTAGAGGCCGCCTGGGACCTCCGAAGGTAACTGAATAGGTAATGGAAAGAGGCCTTTCCACCTCTGCTCATCAGACAGGGATCGCAGGACTTTGTGAAGTCCTTGCTCAAGGAAATAGCGGGTAAAAGGGAGCATGAGAATCGACAGACTCTGTGCATCAAGGAAACAGCTGTTAAAGCAATTCCCCTCCTGCTCCTCCTCCAGGACTCTCCACTCTCTGGTTTTGAGCCAGTAGGAACATTTCAAAACAAAAACAAATAGAGTCAACTTAGGAATCTCCCACCCAGGCCAGGCACCTCCGGTCACTCTGCACCCTTTCCTGCCCCCATGCTAGTCCCTGTGAGATGCAGCCAGAGGGCCTTGGTCTGGCTGGGCGGGGTCTCCCTTCCAGAACAGGGGGCAGCGAGGGGCCCCTCAGACTCAGCAGAGTCCCAGCTTTCAGTTGAGGCTCCTTAGTTGCTCGGTGCCTCAGTTTCTCACCTGTTAAGCAGAATGCTGTCCCCACCTCAGAGCACTATGACAAGAACTGAATGAAATGCTGACCTAGTCTGTCCCCACTTCTCAACACTGACTGCAGAAGAGATGTCTCTGCAGAAACACTGGAAGGGTCATGACTTCTCCGTGGTTTGGATATCCGGGGAAGAGGCCAAAGAATGCTTCCCGAGAACAGCAGAGGCCAGCCTCAGAGATGCAGGGGAAACACTTGTCAAGGGTCATTTGCATTCACTTGGATGGGGGTATGAAATAAACTGGCTTTGTCTTAAGTTTGTGTACACTGCTAACGCATTCCTGGTAAAACTTGAGAAAAAAAAGCCACACAAAAAACAAACAAACAAACAAACAAACAAACAAAAAAACACCAGTTACAGAAATAAAAGATAAGAAAGAGCCAAAAGAGAAGGGAGGTAAGGAAGAGGAAGCAAAAAGAAGAGGAGGAAGATGAGAAAAAAATAAAAAAAAGGAGGAACAGAAGGAAGAAGAGCAGGTGGAGAAGGTAGAGCAGGAGTAGCAGGAGGAGGAGCAGAGGGAGGAGGAAGAGCAGGAAGAGGAAGACGAGGAGGATCAGGAAGAGGTGCAAAGTAGCAGGAGGAGGATCAGAAGGAGGTGCAGCAGTAGCAGGAGGAGTAGCAGGAGGAGGAAGAGGAGGAGAAAGAACAGGAGGAAATGAAGGAGTAATAGAAGGATAAGGAAGAGGAGGAGCAGGAGGGAGGAGAGCAAGAGCAGGAAGAACAGAAGGAGGGGACGCAGGAGGATTAGGAGGAGTAGCAGGAGGAGGAAGAGGGAATCAGGTGGAGGAAGAGGAGCAGCAGAAAGAGGAGGAGGAGCAGGTAGAGGAGGAGCAGCAGAAGGGGAGCAGGTGATGGAGCAGAAAGAGCAGGAGGAGGGGGAGCAGGTGGTGGAGGAGGAAGGGGAGCAGGTGGTGGAAGAGGAGGAGGAGCAGGTAGAGGAGGAGCAGCAGAAAGGGGAGCAGGTGGTGGAGCAGGAAGGGGAGCAGGTGGTGGAGGAGAAGGAACAGCAGCAGGAGGTGGGGGAGAAGCGGCAGGAAGAGAAGGAGCATGAGAGGCAGGAGGAGGAGGACTTTGGACAAGTTGCTTATTGATGGAGACCCTGAGTGGCCTGATACATGACCCCTCTTTTCTCACTTCAGGTTCCAAACAGATGGAGAAGACAAAGAGCAAGGCAGGTGAGGACACTATCTGTGCTCCACCACTGGGAGGGGCCCGAGGCTGGGACACCGCATCATACAGACTCATCTGCCCATCCTGGCAAGACTGGGCAGGCTGGCTTCTCCCGGTGCTGCCCGAGAGGGCCCGATGTCTGAGGACACAGGACCTGCTCCCTGCACTGGCCCAATCTCCAGGAGAAAAAGAGAGGAGGGAGTCCACTCTCCCTCCTCAGGTCTGGCTCCTCCCACAAGGAGGGAATGTGGGGTGTGGGGAAGCAGTGCTCCCCAATGTTCAGCCTCTCTGGGCCCCGTTTCCTCACAGGTACAGCAGGATGGTCTGGGTATGGTTCTCCTAAGGCTCTGAGGAGGATCACGTGCATATAGCGTTTCAGCCGGGCCTTGCGGGGGCACTGCCCAGTGACTGCTGGCGTTGTGTGATGAGGAGCATGGGTGGAGCTCTTATTCCAAGATTTCTCTGTTCAGTGGCTGCAGTCCATGCAGCCACATTTGAAACCAGCAGGCTCTACTCCTGCAGTACATGTTCAAAATCTTGGGAATTATGAGAGCTGTCAGGACTTGGACATGCCATGTGACACTAATGATTGTAGGAGTGATACTGTGACAATGACACTCCAGAGCAGATCCAAATATTGATGATACAAGGAGAGCTGTCAGGACTTGGACATGCCATGTGATTCAGCTGCAAACTCCACTGAGAAAGTCTGCCATGTTCAGCAATAAACTGAAGATTTATTGAAAAGAGAAAGGGCAAGGAACACTTTGGAGCATGAGGTTTTATTCTCGCCTGAATCCAAGATTAGGATATGTCGGCAGGGGCAGGAGCCCCCCCTCATACACCTGCAGCCCCACCCGAGGCACTCATTTACCTCCAGGCAACACAACCAGTATCTAGAGCTGACCGTGTCTCATTTATTTACTGGCTTTTGTGGAATGCCTGCTAGGAGTCAAGGTCTTCTGATAGTGCTGGCAAACAGTGGGACCAGGCTCTGCAGACACAGGGCGATGGGTCCTGAGGAGCTACACAAACTGTTGTCACAGTGGATGCTGGCAACGGGCCCCAGTGCCTGCAGCTGAGATGATGCACCACTGGAGAGCTGGCCGGGGTCTGAGGAGCCAGGCTAACCTGAGGACTGGCTTCCCAGGAGGGCAAGGCTGAGGACAGGGAGGGCCCTGCAGCCCGTAGGCACCGGGTGCATTCTGAGAGCCCAAAGAAGGCCAGAGCATCTCTGAGAGGCAGGCAGACATGAGAAAGGCTCTCAGAGCAGTTGAAGAATTGGGGGTCTAGCCTATGGGTCCAGGGAAGCAGTCCCGAGTAGGAGGTGATGTGAGGGGAAGGGTAGTGGTGAGGATGGCGTCAAGGAACTTAAGAGGCAAAGTAGGACACTAAGGTGTTGGGAGGTGGATTAGATGAGTTGGTGGGAAGAAGATTTCCAGCAAGAAAGCAAGTACAGCCCAAAAAAGTTGGAAGTGACTAATTCAGATGAAACAGACACCTGTCTTCCCGCAAGCACTGGGCGGCTTGTGCCACTATGTGTTCGAGAGCTGGGCGTGAACAGGATCAGGAGGCAGATGTGAACTCAGTGCCTTCGGAGTGGATGCTGTGATTACCCTCCAGAGGGGAGGTTGCATGTGCCAGCTACCTCCCCCCAGCCTCCTGCAGGGGCACCAGCATAAAAAACACACCAGCAAAACTCAGAGGCAAAGAAAGGGGAAAATCCATTTCCCTCCAGAAGTAGGAGGGAAATGAATGAGTATAATTTGGATTGAGAAAACAAGATTTTCCCAGACAGTATTTCAATCTAAAAGAAGTAGAACATGTGATTTGATTAGAAAAATTCCTGAAGCAAATTACATGGGAAGACTTAAGAGCATTATCTTCATAATGAATGGGGCCTGGATAAGTTTTAGGAAGATAGCTGGACACTCCAAAATCAGCAAACATGCCTGAAAGGAGGAAAGTGAATTCAATATGAATTCCTCTCCAAACAGGCACATTTGTCTCGGAGCTCACCCCTCTCTCTCAAAAAGAGCCAGGGGAGCCACTTCTGCTAGACTTCTTGGGTTCAAGTCCCAACTCAACTACTTACTAGTTATGTGACCTCTGGCAAGATACTTAAACCTCTCTGTGCCTCAGTTTCCTCTCCTGCTAACATAGATGATTATAGTAACCCCCTCAGGGCTCAAGTTGGGATGAAATATAAGTTAATACACATCAAGCATTTAAGTTAATATTTGCAAGCCATTTAGGAAAGTGACTGGTCATTGCCGCAGGATAGAAGGGACCACAGCTGCCCTCTGCAGAGCACCAGCACTCAGCACTCTGCTCAGAAAGCAAACCTGGCTCATGTCCTCCTTTATTCCAGTAAAGCATGGGCTCTGGGCCTCCTGGACTCCTGCCTGTGCTGAAGTGGAGGTGCCTAGCCTTGCTATCCCCACCTCCCAGGTCATGGGCACAGGCCAAGGCAGGGGGCCACCTAGCTGAGCTGCAGCATCTGGGACACTGAACTCCAGCTCCCCTGAGTCAGGAGGCTGTGAGCAGCCTCTCGGATGACAGAAGGAGTGCATACAGAAACCTTTTCCCGCCAGCGGGCTCTGAGTTTCTCGGCTTGTGCTCCTTTCCCATTGGGACCCGGCACATTCTCCAACTTCATGCTATGTCTGCTCCCCTGTACTTGGAGCCAGGCTTCTCACCCCTTGGAGGGTGGTCCTCACCATCGCCCTCTAGCTCTCCACTCTGAGATTTTCCCTACAGCACTCACCCCAAGAACCCATTGGCATTCCAGTGTGCATTGTTGGCCTTCACACCTGCCTGCAAGCTCTGCCTCTTGCTGTCTGTGCTCTGGAGCAGTGCCTGGCACATGGAGGCCCTTAGTAAGCGTCTGTGGGATCGAAGTTTAGATCACGGTGGGAAATGTGCATATCACTCTGGGACAAGGGCCTGCAGATTATCTGCCTGGGAAATTTATAAAAACAGTGCCATCGGTACCGGTCTTCCGATTGGGGGAGTGGGGCTTGGGTTGGGCCTACCAGGGGCTTTCAAAAGGCACCTGTGCACCTTGGGACCAGAATCTCTCCTAGTGTTTATTAAAAAAGAAGGTTCTTGGAGCTTATTCCAAATTGACTGGATCAGAACCTCTGGTGCGAGGGAAGGCCCAGGAGCCTGGGTTTTCATAGCTTTCTGGTGATATTGTGGAGCCCAGCGTGAGAGTTGGATCTGTCCTGAACCCATCTGCAGAAATGCTTCACTCTCCTACTTCCTCAGCCCCACAGAAAGCTCATGACAAGTACAGAGGGTGGCGGCTCCCCGAGGTCATACTTGGGGAAAAGAGAGGTAATGAAGCCAGATGTTCCCAGCCAGTGCTCTGAGGGCCTTTGGACCTGGCAGCAGGCAGGCAGGCAGGCAGGAAGGAAGACAGGGCTGTGCCAAGATCAGGCATTTTTACCTGCCCCCTCCCCCCACTACGTTCCCTTGACAATCAGGGCACATTAGGCTCACACTGTACTTTGGGGTTTAGGCAGGCCATGCAGGGCCCCGCAGTGTGTCAGAACTGGCCAGGAAAGACCCAACTCCTAGAGGGTGGAGAGAATTTTAATCGGCTCACATCCCTAGCTTAGCTGCAGACCAACCATCACAGGACATTAAGCAGCTAGCTAGGACAGTTCTTGGGAACCCAGCCATTCAAGGAGCACTGCTCAGCTTCCCAGCGACAGGTGTAGCTGTGGCAGTACGAGCCTCTCAGTCCAGGGCAGGAGTGCCTCTTCCAGGGCCTGTACTCACCAGGCATCACGCCTTTGATGTCAGTCTCGGTGTTGATGGAGTTCTTTTGGGTGAAGTGCAGGATCAACTTCTTCGCAGACTCAAACTGCTGGGTAGCCATCAGCCACCGGAGGGACTCGGGGAATACCCTTCGAAGACACAGAGGGAATTGGTGAGTACCTTCTAGTTTTGGAGGGCATTGAGTTGGGCTGATGGCCAAGGCAGGTGAACTTTGAGGAGGTGTCCCACTCAGTTTCTGCCTTCATGCTGTGGAATCCCATGAATGTTTAGGACTCCCAATATCCCAATTAGGGGCAATAAGACTGTGGGTGCTGGAGTGTTGCTAATTTTCTTATAGAAAGTACGAGAGGCCTGGTGCATGAAATTCATTCCTCAACCCAGCTTGCACCCTCTCTAATCTGGGACCCTTCGGGGAATGTCTGACTGCAGGTTTAGGCCCCATCCCACAGGGACTACTGGCTCCCAATGTATTGCCTGCCTGCCTGCCTGCCTGATTGCCCTTAATTGCTTCTGCCTGCCAGCCTGATCACTCCCTAACCACTTCCCTGCCAGCCTGATCGATGCTTAACTGCTCCCCTGCCAGCCCGGTTGGCCCCAACTGCCCTCCCCTGCAGGCCTGGTCCCCCACAACTGCCCTCCCCTGCTGGCTATCTTTGACAACATGGGGGCGGTGATCTTTTGCAAAGGTGTAAAGGTCAATTTGCATATCACCTCTTTATTATATAGGATAATAATTGTGATTTTTAAAATTTGGCAGAAAGGAACAATATCCTATCAACTTTGTCAGTGTACATAAACTTAAAGCAATAACCATGTATTGCCCAGTCCGTGTGGCTCAGTGGTTGAGTGTTGACCCATGAACCAGGAGGTCATGATTTGATTCCTGATCAAGGAACATGCCTAGTCTGTGGGCTAGATCCCCAATAGGAGGTGTGCAGGAGGCAGCCAATCAATGATTTTCTCTCATCACTGGTGTACCATCTCTCTCCCACTCTCTGAAATCAATAAAATCATTTAAAAAATAAACCTAGCTATTTCTAAACCATGTATATGCAATCATTGAAGGGCTACATTTGTTATATTTTGTCACAGAAAAACAAATGTTAATAGGATAATTTTAAATTAAAAAATGCCTCCAATAATAGCAACCTGATAGTTATTTTCAGTTCTTGAAGATTTGAAGACTGACTTTCCCAGGCCTTCCCTATAGAATTAGCTTCATTTTGCAAACTGCAGTAACACCTCCCTGAGATGATGCGATAATGCAGCAGTTCCCCAGTTCTGGCAACAACAGGTTCCTTTGCTTGCTTTTAGGATAAAATCTTGTGTAAAGCACCAATAGAAGAAAAACTAGCATTTATTATACATGCATTTTGTAAGTTTACATTTATGACAACACTAGAGGCCCAGTGAATGGGTTCGTGAACCAGTGGGGTCCCTCTCACAATCCAGGACCCCTTGGGGGATGTAGTAGTGCGCTAGGGAAGAGCCCGAACCCGGGCTGGGCACTGTGCTGCTCCCGTTTATCCCGGCCCCACCATACCTGCCACCTTTGCCACTTGGTAGTGCTGCCAGGCAGGCTGGGAGGCTCGTACTGCCACAGCTACACCTGTCGCTGGGAAGCTGAGCAGTGCTCCTGCTGTGGGAGTGCACTGACCACCAGGGGCAACTCTTGTGCTGAGTGTCTGCTCTCTGGTGGTCATTGAACATCATAGTAACTAGTCAAATGGTCTACCAGTCAACAAGTTGCTTAGAATTTTATATATCTATATCTATATCTATATCTATATCTATATCTATATCTATATCTATATCTATATCTATATCTATATATCTGTATATCTATCTATTTATCTATCTATCTATCTATCTATCTAGACAGAGAGAGAGAGAGAGAGAGAGAGAGAGAGAGAGAGATATTAACTAGTCAAAGAGAAAAACGTTCCTGTTTGGAGCAGGGTCAGCTCACTTTTCCTGTAAAAGTTCAATTAGTCCATATTTAGACTTTTTAGAACCATGAGGTCAGCCTGGCGTGCAAGCAGCGAGATGGCATATGTAGGATGGGTGATGCTGGGCTCCCTGAGAATTGCATTGTAAAATGGTGGTGCCCCTGACTGGGAGAAGCAAATACTGGAAATCAAAGTCGTAGCCTTTGTCAGCCCACTGCTTTGTTTAGTCACCACTCTTTTTTATTTCAGTGACATGGAAGAGGAGTCCTGATTGGCAATGATAAGAGTCTTCATTGTAATCACTCAACTCTTGCCCTGCAAGCTCAGAGAGGCTCTAATTAAAGTAATTCAGAAGCTGGTAAAAGTTATCAGAGGAACATTTTTATTTCCAAGTCACATCACTAATGATATCTAATAACTGCTGTCTCTCTCTCACTTAGATGAACAAAAATCAAGTTTCTACTTGCTTATGATTGCATTTTGCAGAAACAGCCAGGCAAGTTCTCACTGAATTTGGTGGTACCTTTTGGATGGTTTAACCTGAACATCAATCCATGCTGGAGACCTGGGGGAGTTGTTAAAGAGGCCCCTCTTGCACAGCTGCACGGAGGTAGGGGAGGGCTGTGTGATGGCACAGAGGAGGCATCGTCCAAGCTTCAAAACAGGATCAGAGAGCCTCATGTCTATTCATCTGAGAGCCCAATGGGAAAGCCACTAAAACATATGTTTCATATTGTAGGCACTCATTAAAAAAAAATCAAAATTAATGTTTGCTTTACTGGCCTGTAGTTTTTACAAATCAATTTTGAGAACTATAATGCAAACAAAGAGAAACATGCAGAATATATAGATGCTAATATAGTTACAAATGTCAGGCTATAGTTTTATCAGATTTTTTTTTCTCTATAATGACATAACCTAACCCTAATGCCAATCTTTATATTGCTCATCTATATTATTTCCATCTTTTTTATCTATTTGGCTTTAGTGTCATTTCTGGACACATGGATCATTAACTTTAACTCTTCCTTTCTAACATATGAATTCAGGCATCACTTTAGTGACATTTTACAAGTTTAGTTATGTAGTTCTTATAGTGATTTGATTCTAAATATTTCATGATTTCTATCAAGATTTTCCAAATATACAGGTTTTGAGTTGGGGGGGGGGCGTTGATCAGGTTGCGATCTTGCTTCATTAATGTTTCTAAATCATGGCCATAAAACTGTGCACTACTGGCCTCTCTGTGCAGTGTAGCCACATTGGGACTGGCTCTGTGACACAGGACATGCTTCCTTTGTTCACAAGAGGTTCCGTGGGCAACCTTGAAGCCAGGCTACTCTGTGCTACACTTTCTCTGCTCTAGCCTGTCTGATCGAGTGGTAAAGCCTGAGAAGCGGGTCACTCTGCCTCTCCGACTGCAGGTGTCAGGTCCTGACCTGGGGAGAGCCCTCTGTGAGTGGGCTGGCCCTAGCAGCTGGCCCCACAATGGGTGATGGCAGGTTCTAGGTGTTGGTCGGAGGCTAAACAGACTCAGGTCAGCTAAGAAGAGTCCTTATCTTCAAGATGCCCCAGATGACATCACAATGGGAAGGCCACCTTCCATCACACATGACAGTGTCAGTGCAGGGCCTTGCTGGCTCTACCTGGCTGAGCCTGAGTGGGGGACCAGGGAGGAGGCAGAGGGTGATGAAACAGTCTTTTGTGTTTAAAGAGCAGCAAACTAGTAAAACCAGAATGCTATTTATGAGATGAGGAGATAGGAGAGGCAGGACCCAGGGAGTGGAAGATGCTACACGTTATGGAATCTAATGAGCAGCAGCCATCCGACTGGAAGGAACTGAAGCAGAGGAGCAGGGCACTCCCAGGAGGTTTGTGTACAAGATAATGGACAAGCTCCCATTGGCTACCCAGCGCATGTCCAGAGACAGACTGCACTGCAAACCACCCCCCCACCCCAACTGGATCTATACTCGCCGAGCACTCTTCTCGTGTTTCCTGAGGGTCTGATTCTCTCAAACTCGTTATATGGCAGTAATATCATCCCCAGTTCATAGATGGGAAAATTCAGGCACAGAACATTCAAGGACACCGTCCAGATTCCAGAGCTGTTAGATGGCAGAGCTGGATTCAAACCCAGGCAGCCTGATGCAGGAGCCCACAGTGGAGAAACTCACCCCAGGTACTTACCTGGTACTCAGATGACACATTCAGGTGGTACTGTTCTAAGCAATGCCCCTTCAGTGTTCCAGAATGCCACAGGCCCACAAGCATATGTACAGAAAACTGAAGCTCATATGTTTAAATTTGCTTCAAAGTCATAAAGAACTCATTGGACTGTCAGCCTATGAGAAAGCCCAGAGACTGCTATTCCAGTTTGGATAATGTGCAGTGTGGCCACATTATGAAAATTTAATAAAATATCTCCTGACAAGTACATAATGTAATAACACCAGGACCATCACAAATCCAGCTGACAGAGGAGGACCTGTGAGGAGCAAGGGCTGAGAAACTGTGCATGGTGGGCAGCTGGAGGCCAGGTCTGCCTGGTCCACACTCGCATGTGGATGGTGAGAAAGCGACCTTGAGGATGACTTCTGCAACCACCAAAGGTTAATGAGGCTGAGGAGCCATGGCGGCTTCTCTGGGGGATAGGTTTGCAGTGGCTGCTAGAAGCAGCTGTGGCGACGGGAAAAAGAAACAGTCCGTGGAGTGAATGGTGGAATGGGAAGTATCAAAAACTGGAAGCATTTAATTTTTTCAAGCTTGTTATGCAGCATTCCTGTTGTTACACCTCTTTACAGATGGGCAAATGGCAAAGGAAGTCCCAGTACACTGCCCAGATAACACAGCTTTAAAGTGGCTGGGCTAGAATGAAAGCAGACAGTCCCACTCGAGAGTCTCAGGCTGTGATCTCTAAGCTGGCAATTCAGTGAGTCCCAGGGCTTCTATGGAAAGGAACTGGGCAAAACTGGTCCTGATGAGTCTGAAAGCCACTGCAGGAAGCGAGGGGCACAATAAGAGCAAAAAAAGGTCACTGCTGGGCAGAGGTCTCCTCTCCTTGTGGCTGATGGACCTCTCACCTCAAGGCCAATAACTGGTCATCCAGAGGCCTTCTCCCAAACATGCTCAGGATGGTTAGAGTCCACAGTCCCTAGTCATAATTCCAGAACCCAAAG